AACTTCCAAATTCACAGAGAGCCCACAGCCCTACTGAAGGCCCGGTGGACACCACGCCGTGAGCCCTACCTTGAGTCCACAGATGGAGTGTGGGTGCGGGGGGCCAGTTAGATGAAGCAGGTCCCACGCTCCATGACCGGCTCAGAGAGAGGCCGCTGCACAGACATCACAGCGTGCGAAGCTGTGTGCACAGAAACAGCTGCTGGAAAACAGAACCGAAAATTAGCTCAGAACAGGCCACAAGCAGGCAAGTGGTCGGGTCAATCTGGGCCCAGCCAGATGGTCGATGCCCACAGACAATTGTCGGGAGCGGCTCTAGGGTCAAGCCTGGGGCTGACCTGTGGCAGGGCCACGAACAAGTCCCAGCCTGGAGGGCAGAGCTCTCCTAGCACCGTGGTCGGCAAACTGCGGCTCGTGAGCCACGTGCGGCTCTTTGGCACCTTGAGTGTGGCTCTTCCTAAGCCTTAGGAGTGCCCTAATTAAGTTAATAACAATGTACCTACCTATATAGCTTAAGTTTAAAAAACTTGGCTCTCAAAAGAAATTTCAATCGTTGTACTGTTGATATTTGGCTCTGTTGACTACTGAGTGTGCCGACCACTGTCCTAGCATAACTAAGCCTGACCTTGTAGCCCTCCCTAATTCCTTCCTTCCAAACCTAAGTGATGCCAAGACAAGAACATTTGTCTACATGTTAATCTGCCCTTGTTTTTTTAATCAGACTGTAAAATAAAGCATCAGCTTGCAGGCTAGGCCTTGTGTCCTCATCCAGGCACGGGAGATCCACCAAACCCCCAGCTGTATTCTCTGTCTTTCTTCAATCCTTCGCCGCCCCGCCTCAGACTCACCCTTGGCCGTGCTGGTGCGGCACAACAATGAATGACATTCACAAATGGACCCTTTGTACAACCTAAGAACATTCAGCAAAATAAGTCAAACCCACCCCCCTTCGGACACATGGGAGGAGAGGGGGGATAAAAATCCTAAAAAGAAATTGGAATAGAAAACATCCAAGTGTTAAGAGTGACCTCACTTAACCACTTCTTGAGTGGAGTTTATAAAGAAGTTTAGGACAGTGCCCGGCACATGACTAATATTTTTTTCTTCTTCACTAATACTTCATTGCAAGTAATGAGATTATGAATGTTCCTGGGTATGGTGTAACGGGAATTTCTCCTTCCTCTTGAGCACCGTTTTAGCATGATCTGTCATATTTTATTGCATGAGTGGCCCCGGATTTCCTCAAACCTTTCCCCACTGTCGGTCACAGATTTTGAACAAAATCATCTAAAATGTCCCCAAGGGTTAAGTCTCTGCTTCTAAATCTTTTGGGCCTTGCAACTATTGGTGAATGTCATGGAACAAGATT